GTGTGTGTGTGTGTGTGTGTGTGTGTGTGTGTGTGTGTGTGTGTGTGTGTGTGTCTGTGTGTGTGATCACAACGACCCACCTTAGGGAGCAGCTTCATAAAGACAAAACACTCCTGGCAATTAAAGTGAGTGAAACGAGACAAAGAGGCCAGCGGAGGAATGCTGGATTAGTTAGCTGAACGTGTGTGAGGTGGTGTGTTTTAATATAATTGTGAGGTCCAAAACCTAGGAGCCTTCCATATTTCGGAGGTCTTACAGTTTATTGAAGCTGAAAGTATAAAGTTAAATGGCAGGGTTAGGACGAGCTTACAGAGGAAACCTCCGGCCGGGGGTTCTGGGGTCTGTTTTATTGCAGTAGAGAGCCCCCACAAAGATAATAAGTGCTTATGGTGCTTGTGCATATGGTTGTGTCCGTGGTCTTTGATTGACTGAGAGAGAAAAACGCAAAAGGTGGTGACTAATAGCTGGGTATTAGTGCAGCAGACCAAAACTTTGCAATTAACTTCCTCTGCACTGAAAGATGGCACCTACATCTACAAACATAGTGTGTGCATATAAACACACACACTCCATTAATATGCTGTTTTTCCTCTTCCTAAGCTTAAAATACCAGCCTACTCACCCTTCACGCCACTACACACATACACATACAGTCGGCCAGACCTTCATTAACTAGTTTACTCCTAATTCACTACATCGAAAGTTAGGGAAATCCAATTACTAGTYTAGAATGACAGAGAAAGCAAGAACAAGAAAAATCATTTACCCAAAAAATATGCTTCATAAATTACCTGTCAGCTTTCATCAAATTAGTCTGTCAACAGCATTTCCACTCCGAACCACAAGCAACACATACACGCATGGCTGTACACACTTGCCACTCCTGCACTTCCACTTCCTTTCTGTCCAGATCCCATCTATCAGACCGAGGCTGGCATTTTAAARGCAAACGAGCCATTAAATAAGAATTATATTCTGCCACCACTGACACCYCTAATTTAAAACCTTGGGCAGTAATTGTTCTAATTGTCTGACCCCGTTGTCTCACCTCTGTCACCTAATCTGTCTTGTGTTATTTGTTTTAAACCACTTTCTCTGGTAAACACATCCACCATCGGCGAGCCCGTTCTGTCCAGCATCCGCTGATAGGAGTGTGAAAAAAACTGGAGTTCAGTGCTGATGTGTGCAGAGACTCACGCTAAAGAAAAATGCAACCAATACTTCTTTTTTTCCCTCTTCCATCTCATCTATTCCTCTCCTCACTGCTTCCTATATTCTACAGCATGCACATTTATCAATTCCTGTCCATCTCTKCTTCCTTCTTACTTCACACTTATCTCATGTACTCTCTCTTTGTGCTCTCCCCATCCCATTAACCATCGCAAGTCATCTTTCTTCTTTACTTTACCTCCACTTTTTTATTTTGCTTCTCTCTCTCTCTCTCTCTCTCTCTCTCTCTCTCTCTCCCAGTTCTGGTCGTATTTCTCACTCTGAACTCTATTTCCATTATTTTAACGTCAAATAATTTCGAGGAGAATTGGCACCTTTCGCTCAAAATTTACCATCACTCCTTTCACCAAAGGAAACTTTTTAGAAGAACAATAAATAAGTGCTGCAAATAGTCTGTCCTCACTAAGCAGAGTTTGTTTGGTCTCCATCTGGGCATGCTTCAAAATGCCATCATTGTAATGGTTTTGGAAAAATGACTCTTGACTAAAGTCACTTTCGAATTCAGACTCAAAAAGATGAACACACAGTTCGTCAATTCAATTAAATTCAAATCAGTTTATATTGCGCCAAGTCACAATGTTGTCTCAGGGCATTGTACATGGATAAAAAAGGTCAAAATGTGCTTGTGATGCCGAACRTAATTTTTTATGGAAGTTGAAAAGTAAATATAAAAATGATAGGCCAAACTGTCCTTGAAATAATGAATTTACTTTCTGTAAGTGTTAAACTAAGCTCATCTTACAAAAACAAGGGAGTTATAGCTGTTGGGTTGACCACTTAGATCAGTGGTTCTCAATCTTGTTTGGGCCAGCKCCCCCCTAGCCATGATTGAGGACCTCTAACGCCCCCCTCCCCCTTGTTAAAGGAGTCATAAACTACCTGCATTAAAAGGGATTTTTATTATTATTATTAGGGATGCACCGATACCAGATTTTTGAAAACCGAGTACAAGTACTTACATTAAAGTACTTGCCGATACCAAGTACTGACACAAGTACTAATAAATATCCTTAAAAATCCTTATAATTAACTTAAACTGTTTATTTTCATTAGGCACTTCAAACATAAATAAACAAAGTACATTACTATTGGTTTAAAACCATTTTACTGTCATATAACCAGCATGTACAAAAAATAAATAAATAAACTGTGTGTGTGTGTGTGTGTGTGTGTGTGTGTGTGTGTGTGTGTGTGTGTGT